GGGGGGGGGGGGGGGGGTTATGTATTACTAGTCAAACATCAAGGTATGCCTTTGAAATTTCCATAATTAAAAGGTACATGAGATGCATAATCTTTCACAAGTAGCTTCTCACAGTAGATATTGAAAGACATGAACAAAAATGCTGCTCTTTGTGCAGGAGGTGGCTCAAACCATTGAGGATATGTTAGATCAGCTAAGAAGTATCAAGAGAGGAGGTGATCTGAATGTTGTCAAGATTGAGACACTTGAAATGGAGCTAAGATTTTTGAGAACTTTTCTCGAATACCATCATGTTCTTTTGCCTGATTCATTTGTCAATATCGCAACGAAGGTCCAACTGATTGGGGAAATGATTCAATCAGTTTTTTCTGATGGATGCAAAACTAACCTTAATGTGGAAAGGCTAGAATCATATTTTCTAAAGTTCATTGAAGGTAACACCAGTTCAAGGTTCAATTATGAGCTGGATGATTCCTATCTGTTAGAATATATGGATTACCTCGACAAGAATCTAAATGATGCACCGAGGTATCTAGTCAAGTCTGACGCTTTTTTGAGGAAAGGTCTCAAAATCCTTCAAAAGACAGATCGATTTTTGAAGCAGGTGATGTTCATTCGAAAGAAAATGAGGTTTCTAAGATACTTATATGGCACAGAAATAAATGGTCACATTGACCGTGAGAAGCAAAAAAGATTGGAGATCCAAATGCAACTCGTGGCTGACAATGTGGTACATTTTTGTGTTGCTCTTTGGACTAATGAAATCGATGGAATCGATACATCTAATATCGAGAATAAGCCTTCTTATCTGATATGCCTGATTGTGCTAGTGGAGCTGGAAATGAAGAAGATTTTTCGTGGTGAACTAAAGGCTTCAAAGTTTAGTCATTCAAGAACTTTCAGAACTCAGAAATTGCCAAAAGATTTTACACGTCATCTTCATTCTCTTCTTGTATATATCAGAGAAAAAAAGCTTGGGAACTTTCCTAATAATGTATCTGCTCAAAACACTGATGCGGCAATAGAGTTCTTGTTGGATTCTCTCGGTGATGATGTGGAGAAATCCTTAAAATTCACTCCTCGTCAGTTTCCCACAGCTGGTGGATTGAGCTTTCTAGATTCTCTCCTACTGAAGCTGAATGAGATGTTGAAATCTCAATCAGGTTTGGACCTCAAAATGAAGCCTCGCATTGGTATTTTAGAGAAAGAGCTTTCGTCTCTAGCATCTGTTTTCAGAGATGTCGCAAAGCTGCAGCATGAACATGATATTCTAAAAGATCTTCGGCAGTGTACCATCAATTTGGCATATGAAGCTGAAATTGCCGTTGACTCTATTCTTGCTCAATATGATGCTCTTTGGCATTCTTTTTTCTCACTTCCTGCAATCATAAAAGAGATCAAGCATATTCGTATGGAGGTGACCAAGATGTGGTCGGAGAACCTTGATATTAGGCCTTCCTCTGTTGTCGAGCCATCTAAGCAAGGTTCTCAACATAGCAATCATGTGAATGATGAGGAGATAGTTGGTTTTGAAAATGACACGAAAATAATAATTCGGTATCTGACACGAGGGACAAATGAGCTAGATGTCATCCCAATTGTTGGGATGGGGGGACAAGGTAAAACAACTTGTGCTAGAAAGTTGTACAATAATAACATCATTGTTTCTCATTTTGATGTTCGAGCATGGTGCGTCATTTCCCAAACATATAACCGGAGAGAGCTATTACAACAGATTTTCAGTCAAGTTACCTGTTCCAATGAAAAGGGAGATAAGGATGACATTCTTGCCGACATGTTGAGGAAAAGCTTAATGGGTAAGAGATATCTCATTGTCTTGGATGATATGTGGGATGGTATGGCATGGGATGACTTAAGACTTTGTTTCCCTGATGTTGTAAATAGAAGCAGAATAGTAGTGACGACTCGACTTGAGAAAATGGGTGAGCATGTCAAGCACCATACTGATCCTTATTTCCTTCCATTCCTCACAGCAGAAGAGAGTTGCCAATTGTTGCAGAAAAAGGTTTTTCACCACAAAAGTTGCCCACCGGAACTACAAGATGTGAGTCAAGCAGTTGCAAAAAGATGCAAGGGATTGCCTTTAGTGGTCGTCTTGGCAGCTGGAATAATTAAAAAGAAGAAAATGGAAGAATCTTGGTGGCGTGAGGTTGAAAAATCTCTACTTTTCTATCTTGACCGTGAGTCTGAAGACTATAGTCGGGCAACTATGCAGTTAAGTTATGATAACTTACCCGATTATTTAAGACCTTGCCTTCTTTATATGGGGATGTTTCCGGAGGATGCCAGAATTCCAGTGTCTAAATTGATAAGTTTATGGATAGCAGAAGGCTTCGTACAGAACATAGAATCTGGGAGATTAATGGAAGATGCAGCTGAAGATTACTTGAAGGATCTTATAAGCAGTAACGTGGTAATGGTTTCAAGGAGAAGATATAACGGTAAAGTTAAATACTGCCAGGTTCATGATGTAGTGCTTCACTTTTGCTTGGAGAGGAGTAGAGAAGAAAAGTTTATGTTGACAGTGAATGCGCATTATACCCAATTTCAACCTTCTGATTGGAACGAAACTCGATTGAGCTTCAATTTCACAAATGAGCTTTCCGAGTTTGCATTGCTGGACTCCAAAACATGGAAGCCTTTCCACCAAAAGTTGAGGTCACTGAAAACAACCTATAGATACTTCTGTGAGTTCGTAAATTGGAATCCCCTCCATCAGTGTAGTGAATTGAGGCTTCTTAAGGTCTTGGACTTGAGTTCCAATAAAGTGGTTCCTTTGTCGTCAGCTACATTGGAACCACTAATTCACCTCAAGTACCTTGCAGTTGTTGTTGAACAATTTGTTTTCCATCCAAAATCACATCTTCCCCATCTAGAAACTTTAATAGTGAGGTATAACTCCGGGGATACAGTGTTACCAGCGGTTTTTTGGAAAATGGAAACGTTAAGGCATGTTGAGATTAGTTGTGCTATTTTTGATGATGATTTGGAAGACAATAAACCGCGGATATTTCAAGAATCCTCTAAATTGGAAAATTTGAGGATATTAAGGAAAGTTATAATTAAAGATGCTGCTAACGAGGATGCCTTAATACAGAGATGTCCTAATATTCAAGAACTTAGCATAAGCTATGAACGTTCAAGAGATATTTGTCACAAATTGGAGAGTCTTACCAATCTTCAAATACTTCACCTTTTCTTTAACTCATCCCTAGTTGTATCCAAGTTACACTTGCCTTCAAATTTAAAAAAGTTGGTACTAAAAGGGACTCGTATAAAGAGCACGATTTCCTTCATTGCGGAACTACCAAGTTTGGAATATCTCAAATTAATTAGTTCCAAGTTTATGAAATCCGAAGAGTGGTGCCTCGGAGATATCACGTTCCATAAACTTAAGTTGTTGAAACTGGAGTTGTTAGATATCTCAAGGTGGGAAGCCTCAGATGAATCTTTTCCTCTTCTTGAAACGCTTGCTGTAAGTTGGTGTGACAAGCTTGAGGAGATCCCCCTGAGCTTTGCAGATATTCCAACACTGAAGCAGATTAAGTTGATTCGCTGCGACAAAGAATCTATCGAGGCTTCAGCTAAGAAAATTAAGGAAGCAGTCCAAGATATTGAAGGATGTGACCGTATTAACATCATTATTGATGTAAGTAGAAAGAAACTCCTATGTGCTATTTTTGAGCATCTATCTAATGTGAAGGGGAGCCTTGGCGTAACTGGTAAAGTTGCTACCATGTGACCAGGAGGTCACGTGTTCAAGCCGTGGAAACAGCCTCTTGCAAAAATGCAAGGTAAGGCTGCGTACAATAGACCCTTGTGGTCCGGCCCTTCCCGGACCCCGCGCATAGCGGAAGCTTAGTGCACCGGGCTGTCCTTTTTACGTGCTGTCTAATGTGTTGTTATATGTTTCACACAGAAACGTTAGGTCTATTACTGTGTCTGGCAGCTGTGAGTCAAGACCTTGTCACAAAAATATGGTATTGTTTTAAATTTTATATTTTTGGTTATCTTGATTAAATGCCAGATTTCTCTTAATTTGTCCTTATTGATCTCAAATTATCAGGATGTGTTTGAATTTGACAATTGGTTGGACAACTACAACACAAGCACAAACAGAGTGGATGGAGTTATTATGCAGCTAGCTGAAACGCCCTTCCTCTTGTATTGTAACACTACTACTGATTGCTAACTTTGTTTTGATGTTCTCTTTTTTCTTTATGTTTTAGATAATTTGAGACCAATATCAAATGATCACAGTTTGATTAGCTAGGGATGAAGATAAAATAACTAGTATAATTTGTAAATAATATTGGTAATAGAAAGAAAACAGTATTGTAAACGTGGTTCTGCTCCTAGATCGCGGTGCACCAGCTGATAGCAGAAAACTGCAGCTGCAACATGGTTCCAAAATGTGACGAGATCCGTCCTAGGCCCTCAGGTCCCAACCCAAACCATTCAACAAGTCTCAAAGAGTAATATTGACTTGCACAAAGGCTCAAAACGAGGGGTTGGGTTGTTACAGGTTCTTGAGCAAGATGATTCGTAAGTAAAACACTCCATTATGTTTGGAATGTTCACTCTCAAGTACTTTTGGGACTACCGCTATTTTTACTCATTGGTGCCAAGAAACTTCAGCAGAGCTTTGAGATAAATGCAAACAAACATATGATAGAAGTAAATAGTGGAGGAACTTCTGCCAGAATAGTGCAGGACACTTGTGATCAAGTACTTGTATTTTGAGAAATAACTGTACAAAAACACCTCAGAACACCGGTTGATTCTTTGATAGTAGTAATAAAAGACATTAATAAAATTTCCCTCTTAGTGAAGATTAATATGACAAGAGTATGGTGAACTTGCAGGGATTTTTTACTTTTTTTTTATTCATTTACGGATGATGGCGCATAATGACATTGAGGATATGTTAGATCACCTGAGAAGGATTAAGAGTAGAGGTAATCTGAATCTTGTTCATTGTACGAGCAAAAAATATTTTCCTTCGGTTTGTAAATAAAACAGTATGAAGGAATACTGTAGCGGAAGATCATGAGTTAATTAGCACACAATCACATATAAAGCAAATAGATAAGAAAAAATTATACATGAATTGAATGAGATTCAGCTCACGGGCAAAAGCAAAGAGAACTATAGGAGAATGATTTTTCCAATCCTAGAAGGACAATATGTTTTTCTTTCCCAAATCTATTGGAAAAGAAATTTTCTAAACAATAATATAAAATTTCAGCAAATACAAGCAAATAATTTTTATGCTCTCCAGCTGTACTTTTTTATCCTTTTCTTAGCTTTCCAACCCCTTTGCTTTTTACCACTTTTCTTCTATATATTTTTAAGTTAATTCCACGTTGAAAGTAGAAGAAAAATTCATTTTACTATTGATAACTTTTAATAATATGAGTTTTTTAGGGAATGTAGTTCGACTTCGACTTCGACCCAAAACAAATAATGTTACACCATGTTAAAAGTATTTTGGAGTTGTTTTACTTCAATAACTGACATTATAGCCAATAATTTAGCGGGGCGAGTATGGAAATTGCGGAGTGTTGAATTGGAACATGGCTTAGAGGGTGTTTGGCTAAGCTTATAAGCTGGTCAAACTGACTTATAAGCACTTTTTGGCTTATCTACGTGTTTGGTAAAATAAAAAGTACTTATAAGTTAAGTACTTATAAGCCAAAAGCAATAAGTTGGTGTTCCCCAACTTATCAAATTTAGAGCCCGTTTGGCTTAGCTGATTTAGAGTAGCTGATAAGCATTAGGTGCTGAAAAACACTTTTAAATGCTGAAGCTGATTTAAAAAATAAGCAGTTACGTGTTTGGATAAAAGCGCTAAAATTAATAATAAGCAGCTGAAGAACTAGGTATATAAAGAATTTTGTTTTAAAAAGAAGTATTTTAGGGATAGAATAGTAAATATTTTGGTCAAACCTAAAGTGCTTATAAGCTGGAATTTGATAAGTTGGGGTAGACCAACTTATGACTTTTGGTTTATTTTGGCTTATAAGCACTTAACATATAAGCACTTTTAATTTTACCAAACGCGTAAATAAGCTAAAAAATACTTATAAGCCAGTTTGACCAACTTATAAGTTTAGCCAAACACCCTCTTAAGCTTATAAACACTTTAGGTTTGACCAAAAATATTTATCTATCCCTGAAATACTTGTTTTTAAAATAAAACTCTTCGTATACCCGATTCTTCATCTGCTTATTATTAAGTTTAGCACTTTTATCCAAACACGTAACTGCATATTTTTTAAATCAGCTTCAACACTTAAAAGTGCTTCTCAGCACCTAATGCTTATCAGTTACTCTAAATCAGCTAAGCAAACAGGCTCTTAGTACCTTTGCCCCTCCGGCTAAGCTAGAAAAGCTAGCATCGACTAACGTGGATGGCACACAGTTAATTTTTGGCTTAGTGTCTTTGGCGATCTAAACAAGAAGAAGTTAGTATCGGTTAATGTGGGTGGCACACAATTAATCCTCAAAATATTCTACTTATAAGTTGTTTAGATCTTTCTTGGTGCGAGACGTCTTTGAAAAAAATATACAGAATTGGTCCAAAGAAAATAAATATCGCACATTATTAAGAATATCATTGTGGATGTTTTAAGGCACAATATCCTCGTAGGCACTTGTACTTGTTAACGTTTGTCATCCCGGTCCCTATACTCAAAGAAGATTCATCCAGACACTTATAATTGTTCAAAGCCAATATTGTAAACCCCTCTCACCTCGCGTGTTCTTCAAATCTCTGACATGAATGACACATCAGTGGCCAAGTCAAATTTTTTGTTACACATTATTATTAATTTATTTTTCACATTATTTTAAAATTGTTCATTTCTTTTTTTTATTCCACCATTGGTGGTCGACAGAACGTAAGAGAAAGAGAAAAATCACCTATTTGGCCTTTTCTTTCTTTCCTAATTTGATTTTTGATTTTTTGCATTTTTCTTTTTTTTCCCCTATTTTAATCATACTTTTTTTACGTTCACGCTCCTTATGTGGGTGAAATACATGATTTTGTCCAGTTCAGTAATTAAATTGCCACATAGACTTGGTCAATGGTCAGAGCGGTTTAAAACATTGAGTTTGAATAATTATAAGTGTCTGGATAAATTTTTTTTGAGTATAAGAACCGGGATAACGAACGATAACAAGTACACGTGCCTACGAAGTTATCCTGCCATGTTTTAACCCAACAACTTTGTTCTCTCTACCTAAAAATATATTTGCTGTTTCACTTTCAATTAGATTTTTGATTGTGGTTGCTTTAATATCATATCCTTCGATGTGAAAGAGCAATCCAAAGTTGTGCATATCACATGGATGGACTCCATTATTGCTCGACAAGTCCTTGCATGGATCCCATCTGTCCTTCTAGAAAAGCAAAAAGATATTCATACTTATGTAGTACATTTTTTTAGTAGTATTTGCAAAAAATAATATATTTAAAAATAATTTATTAATATAATTGACAAGAGGGGTTGCTCTGATGGTAAGCCAGTCCCACTTCTGATCGAGAGATTGTGAGTTCGAGTCTCCCAAAATCAAGGTGGATAGAGGTAAGGTCTGCGTAGTACTGCTATAATTGAGAGCTCATATGTAATCGGTTGGACCACACTTTATTTTCAAATTCCTTTGCTCATCCACTCAACCTAATATATATCTTGAGAGAGTGTGTAACTATTATCCCTTCCTCCTCCTCCTACAGCAGCTTTTACTTTTTACAGGTATTTCATTTTTGTGATTTCTTTTATTTACTCATTAATCTTTTATGTTTTAATTTTAATGATCATCCCTTGTGCTTCCTCTTAGGATATATATTGTATCAGAAGATGTAAGACTTGGAACTGAACAAGTCAAATCTCTAAATTGGTTTCATTTGCAATCTACAGTCAACTTCTTATATTGCCAGAATAGCTACATGAATCCATTTAACTTTTGTCTTGATAACTACTCCTCCTTCCATTCTAATTTATGTGACAGTGTAAGTATTTGACTGAGAATAGAGTTCAAGAAAAAGATTTTTGAAACTTATAGTTAAAAATAAAACTAAGATATTTGACTAGCTATAAATAATGTCGTTACTAGTTACTTACCTTCTCGGAGCCTTGGAGCGACAGTCAAGTGGTTTCCTTGTGCCTATAGGCCATGGAATCAGCCATTTATACTTGCATTAGGGTAGACTGCCTACATCACACCCCTTGGGTGTAGCCCTTTCCCGAATCCTGCGTGCACGTGGGATGCTTTGTGTACCAGACTGCCTTTTTTTTACTAGTTACTTACCTCCTCAAGAAAAGAAATACTTATGAAAGAACGGAAATTCGTATAATATATTTGATTTCGCAAAAAGAGAGATGCACAATATGTCAAAACCTAAGGGAAGTTTGTGAATTTTTTTCATGATAAAAAATGTGCAGAATGTGTATAATCTTTCACAAGCATTATAGCTTATGATAGTAGTATTAAAAGACACTAATAAAATTTCTCTCTTAGTGAAGATTAATATGACAAAAGTTTGGTGAACTTGCAGGGATTTTCTACTTTTTAATGAAGATGGCGCATAACAACATTGAGAATATGTTAGATCATCTGGGAAGGATTAAGAGTAGAAGTGATTTGAATGTTGTCAAGATTGAGGCACTTGAAATGGAGCTGAGATTTTTTAGAACCTTTATCAAGTACCCTCATGCTCTTTTTCCTGATTCCTTAGTAGAAATCAGAAAGAAGGCCAAATTGATTGCGGAAATGGTTCACTCGGTTTTTGGTGGAATTTCAGGTGAATACAAAACTAGTCTTAATGTGGAAAGGCTAGTATCAGAATTGCAGGAATTCAGTGAAGATAATGGTACCAGTTTAATATACAACGTTGAACTGAATGATTCGTATATGTTGGAATATATGGATTACCTTGATCAGAATCTAAATGATGCACCGAGGTACTTGGTTCGATCTGTCGCTTTTTTCGCGAAAAAAATCAATATCCTGCAGAAGACAGATAGATACTTAAGGCAAGTCAAAGTCATTCAAAACAAAATAAGATTTATAAGATACTTATATGGTGCAGAGATAAATGGTTATGTCGACCGTGAGAAGTTGGAAGGTATGCGGGCTCGAATACAGTTCATGGCTGACAATGTGCGACAGTTCTGTCTTGCTCTTTGGATTAAAATGGATGGAGATGATACATCTGATATCGAGAGTAAGCCTCCTTATCTACTATGCTTGGTTGTGATAGTGGAGCTGGAAATGAAAATCGTTTTTCTCTGTGAACTAAAGGCGTCAAAGTTTACTCAATCAAGAACTTTCAAGGACAAGAATTTGCCAAAAGGATTTTCATATCAACTCCACTGCCTTCTGGTGTATCTTAGAGATAAAAAGCTTGATAACTTCCCCACTATTGTCTCTGCTCGAAACATTGATGTGGCACTAGAGTTCTTGTTAGTTTTTCTCCGCGATATACCAAATCGTGTTATTAATGGTAATAGGCTGAATGAAGTCTTAGAAAAGGTTGGAGTGCTTGTGGGAGACATTCTTTCTGGAATTCAAATGCAGCTTCTTTCAAGATCGACAATCAAAGATGATGCGAGCAAGATTGATCTTGGCACAATACAGATATTGGAGAAAATAAAAGATCTAAAGTCACAAGTGGAAGTAAGGTACTACAAATCCTTAATATTCAGACCATCTCAGTTTCCCACAGCTGGTGCATTAAGTTTTCTGGATTCTCTCCTAAGGAAACTGAATGAGATGTTGAAATCTGAAACAGGTATAGATTTCATGTTGAAGCCTGATATTGTCGTTTTAGAGAAAGAGTTCTCATATCTTACATCTGTTTTCAGAGATGTTGCAAAGGTGCAGCAAGGACATGAAATTCTTAAAGATATTCAGAGGCATACTATCAATTTGGCATATGAAGCGGAGGTTGCCATTGACTCTATTCTTGCTCAGTGTAATACTCTTTGGTATCTTTTTTCCTCACTTCCTACAATCTTAAAAGAGATCAAGCATATTAGTGTGGAGGTGACCAGGATGTGGTCGGAGAACCTTGCTCTTAAGCCCTGCTTTATCGTAGAGCCATCTAAACATATGCCAACTCAACATAGCAATCTTATGAATGATGAGGAGATAGTTGGTTTTGAGAATGACACTAAAAGAATAATTCGGTATCTGACACAAGGGACAAATGATCTAGATGTCATCCCAATTGTTGGGATGGGGGGACAAGGTAAAACAACTTGTGCTAGAAAGTTGTATAATAATAACATCATTGTTTCTCATTTTGATGTTCGATCATGGTGCATCATTTCCCAAACATATAGCCGGAGAGAGCAATTACAAGAGATTTACAGTCAAGTTACTGGTTCCAAGGATAAGGGAGATAAGGATGATGTACTTGCTGACAAGCTGAGGAAAAACCTAATGGGAAAGAGATATCTCATTGTCTTGGATGATATGTGGGATGGTATCGCATGGGATGACTTAAGACTTTGTTTCCCCGATGTTGTAAATAGAAGCAGAATTGTAGTAACAACTCGTCTTGAGAAAGTGGGTGAACATGTCAAGTGCCATACTGATCTTTATTTCCTTCCATTCCTCACACCCGAAGAGAGTAGGGAATTGTTGCAGAAAAAAGTGTTTCAAAACGAAGCTTGCCCACATGAACTACACAATGTGAGTCTAGATGTTGCAAGACGATGCAAAGGGTTGCCCCTAGTGGTTGTCCTGGTAGCTGGAATTATCAAAAAGAAGAAAATGGAAAGATCTTGGTGGCATGAGGTTAAAAAAGCTCTATTTTCTTATCTTGACCGTGAGTCTAAAGACTATAGTCGGGGAACTATGCAGTTAAGTTATGATAACTTGCCCGACTATTTAAGACCTTGCCTTCTCTACATGGGGATGTTTCCAGAGGACAAAAGAATCCCAGTGTCTAAATTGATAAGTTTATGGATAGCGGAAGGCTTCGTGCAGAACATTGAATCTGGGAGATTAATGGAAGAGACAGCTGAAGGTTACTTGATGGATCTCATTAGCAGTAACGTGGTAATGGTTTCAAGGAGAAGATATAATGGTAAAGTCAAATACTGCCAGGTTCATGATGTAGTGCTTCACTTTTGCTTGGAGAGGAGTAGAGAAGAAAAGTTTATGTTGGTAGTGAGAGGGAACATTCAACATTCTGATTTGAAAGAAAGTCGAGTTAGCTTCAGTTTCAGTAATGAGCTTTCCATGTTTGCATCCAAAACGCGGAAGCCTTTCCACCAACACTTGAGGTCACTGATAACCACCAATGGAGGAAAATCTTTATTTTGGAATTCCTTCAGTCAGGTTATTAATTTGATGAGGCTTCTTAAGGTCTTGGATTTGAGTTCACATAAATTGGGTCATTTGACGTTAGCTACATTGCAACCACTAATTCACCTCAAGTACGTCGCACTTTTCTTAGATACATTCGATTTTCGTGGAAAATCACATCTGCCTCATCTAGAAACTTTAATTCTCAAGTCATGTTTAAGGAGTACACGGTTATCAGAGAATTTTTGGAAAATGAAAAAATTAAGGCATGTAGAGTTTTCTGGAGTTCCTTTTGTTGTGGGAAGGCAGATCATTGATGAGCCCTCTAAGTTGGAAAATTTGAGGATATTAAGGGGTTCTGCATTCGGTTCTGATTGCTTGAATGTTTTAGCGCAGAGGTGTCCTAATCTTCAAGAACTTGAAATCTCAATTTTGGAAAATTATTCCGATGAAGAAAAGATTTGTCTCAAATTGGACAGTCTTACCCAGCTTCAATCACTTCGCCTTTTGTTTGGCTTGTTCCTTGCCAAGTTACACTTGCCCTCAAATATAAAGAAATTGGTACTAATTAGGGCTCCGATGGAAATCACGTTTTTCTCTATTGCAGAACTACCAAGTCTGGAGTATCTCGAATTAGGGGATCCGTGTTTTTATTATTCCAAAGAGTGGTGCCTTGGAGATATCACGTTCCCTAAACTTAAGTTGTTGAAACTTAGGAACTTCGGTATCTCAAAGTGGGATGCGTCAGAGGAATCTTTTCCCCAGCTTGAAACACTTGTTATAAAAGGGTGTTATAATCTCAAGGAGATTCCCCTTAGCTTTGCAGATATTCCAACACTGAAACAGATTAAGTTGATGAAGTACAGCACCAATGAATCTCTGAAGGCTTCAGCTGTGAGAATTAAGAAAGAAGTTGAAGAGATTGAAGGATGCGACCGTGTTGAACTCATCATTATTGATGTAAGTAGAAACAAACTCCAATGTGATGTTTTAGTGTCTTAATTTGCATTTGAAGGTTGTTTAATGGATGTTTCTTGCAGTGGTGAGTCAAGCACGTGTTTGTTACAACAACATGGTATAGTTTTCAGTTTTTGTTTCCTTTTTCCGTTCCCCTTATGTTATTAGATGTTTGCTTTCGATCTCAAATTAACAAGGATGTGTTGCTGCTTAGGCAACTACAGCAAAAGCACAGACAGAGTGGACGGACGGAGTTCTTAGCGAATTGTTGTAGTCATGCTGGAATCTCTTATGATAGCGGAAACCCCAATCTGCTTATACTGTAACATTACTAAGTCTGTTTTGATTGATCAATTGAGACATTGTACCCTCTTTTAAGTATGTTTCTAATGGTTGTAGAACAGTTTCATCTGGTCTTCCACTTTGATTTCTTTTTTGCTTTTGTAGTTTCTCTAAGTTTCTATGATCCTTTCATCCTATGCATTCTATGTTGCACCTGCAAAATTCACCTCTTTTAAATTCATCAAATGATAAAGAATGAAGCTAATAAGTGTGTTCTTTAACATTCATCATTAGTACTTTTAAGATATTGACTGATTAATGATATTTTGTTCTGACAAAATGAGTAGCTGGTTACAATGGTTTTCTATACACAAATTGGCGTAGCAGAGACAACTTCAGCCAAGCACACAAAGTGAACAAATTTGAGGTATTATCACTTTTAGCCCGCGCCCGAAAGGATGGAGAGGTTGTTTTCAATCGACCCTCGGCTTAGAAAAAGAAAAGGAAATATAGAAACAAAAACAAAACAAAAGAGCATTAGTAGCTCCAGCTAGGGGTGTTCATGGTTCGGTTTGGATCGGTTTTTCCCTAAAATGAAACCAAACCAAGTAAGTCGGTTTTTCAAATATTAGAACCAAACCAAACCAATTAAGTCGGTTTTTCTCGCTTCGGTTTATGTCGTTTTTTCGGTTTTTTCGGTTATTTGTCGGTTTTTTCTTAAATATAAGACATACACTACCAAACACATATTCCGGCGACCACATTTTCAATGTAGCACTACCAAAAAAATTGCCCTTTGAGAAATCTATTATTTACCAAAATATATTGATGATAATTGAATCAAATAGCGATGAATAATTTAAGGACTCGATTAAAAATATATTATTTTTAATACGAAATGGATTCTTACACTAAAAAAAAAAGAAAACTACCAATCAAACTAGAATGTAAAGGTAAAGAACTATATTAAAAGTGCAAACTATTAACATTTATCATAAATTTTTTGAAACTTTATATAACAATATACATATATATAGGTGTAATAATAAATTTGAAATAGCTACTCCTATAGTCGGTTTGGTTTGATTTTTTTCTTATTAAAACCAAAACCAAACCAAATTTCATCGGTTTTTAAAATTCAAAACCAAAACCAAAACAAACCAAAAAGTATCGGTTTTTTTTGGTCGGTTTGGTTTGATTTTCGGTTTGGTTCGGGTTTTCGGGTTTTTATGAACACCCCTAGCTCCAGCAGAATCACGATACATAATTATGTAAGCATAGCCCATAAGTAACATGACATGCAAAAGGAAAACGTAAACAAAAACAAAAGTAAAAGGGTATCCACAAATATAAATTTAGCCACATTCAGTAAATAAAATGAAATGCAGTAACAACGACCACTAACTAAAAGCCCCTATCCTACAACCCTGATATTAGACCTCCAGACTCTCCTATCAAGGGCCATGTCCTCGGAAATCCACATACTAGTCATGTCATGCCTAATCACCTCTCCCCAATACTTCTTTGGCCTCCCTCTGCCTCGACTTGCGCCAACCACCTCCAAACGCTCACAACTCCTCACCGGGGCATCTGGGCTTCTCCTCCGCACATGCCCGAACCACCTGAGCCTCGCCTCCCGCAACTTCTCATCCGCCGAGGCCACACCCACCTTTTCCCGAATAACTTCATTCCTAATCTTATCTAACCTGGTGAACCCACACATCCACCTGAGCATTCTCGTCTCCGCAACCTTCATTCTCTGAACATGAGATTTCTTCACCGGCCAGCACTCCGCCCCATACAACATGGAAGGTCTAACCACAGCTCTATAATACTTCCCCTTGAGTTTTTGGCACTTTCTTGTCACACAAGACTCCTGATGCAAGCCTCCATTTCGACCACCCTGCCCCTATACGGTGAGTGACATCCCCATCGATCTCTCCATCCCCTGGATCACCAACCCCAGATATTTGAAAATGTCCCTCTGGGCGATGGCCTGAGATCCAAGCTTCACGACCCTGCCTACTTCTTCTTTGCTCGACTCTGCACTAAACTTACACTCCAGGTATTCTGTCTTAGACCTACACATAAATTGAAAACAAATAGATAAGAAAAAGTTACACATAAATTGAACGTCATTCAGCTAATTAGCTTAATAAATGGGCAAAAGCAAAGAGTAGAAGCGTATATTATAAACAATCTCAACCTATAATTTTTATATATAGATTCCAAGTAGTCTTAGAATTATAGGAGAATGGTTTTTCAATCCTATAAGGACTGTAGCTTTTTCTTTCCCAAATATATTAGAATAATAATTTCCCAAAAATAGCTTTCTCACCTCAATATTTATGTAAGTAGAAACAAACTCCAATGTGATGTTTTAGCGTCTTAATTTGCATCTAACGGTTGTTTGATGGATGTTTCTGGCAGTGGTGAGTCAAGCACGTGCTTGTTGCAATAACATGGTATAGTTTTCAGTTTTTCTT